CAGGTGGCAAGTACAAATGTTAGGAATGCAGTGGAAAAAAAAAAAAAAAAAAAAAAAAGGTTGTAAAGTAATGAAACTAAAGGATCCAACACACACTGAGTTGCAATGCTTGAGCAAAACTGCAAAAAATGGCACAGGCGTACTCTCAGCTCAAAGAAAATACAGCAAGAGGACCAGAGCTATTTGTCAGACACTTGCAATTTAATAAATAAACTAAATAYTCTGCAGCTCAGCCAGAACACTTCCAGTAAAATGATTTTTATTTCCAATGGAATGGTTTATYGGTCAGATCTAATAGATCTTGGGAGCAGTTTTTGGAGGCAGAGGGGAGGATAACGAATTCAAGAAGTCTTACACTTCATATATAACTCACTGATCTTATCTAGGACCTCTGTGTCYTGTAATTTTATGGTCCCAAGTTTAAAATTTAACCACCCAAAGGAAAATGGATCAAGTTTCCCTGACTTGGTCTTTTGTCAACATCCGCCCAATGACAGAAAAACTCTTATTGCAAGTGGGGCGTTAGGAATTTATTTTCCAGCCTCAGATTTTATTTCCAGAACTTCAATTTAGTTTGTACACAATCTTCACACATTAGTTATTTGCTGATTAATCACAACAGCCCAGTTTTATGCTTCTACATCACGAATTCAAGCTCTTTAGAGAAGAAAAACCCAGCAGGTGTCATTTTTCTAGACACAATTTACAAGGAGTGAGAGAATATGACCAAGATATCTGAGCCTGAAACTGCATGGACCAGACAGCAAGCTCAGAAATAGGTCCAAGTTAAGATTTATAAGCTTTCCATATTTGCCTTTCTTTTTTTCCAAGCTGAGTTTCTCCACGTGCCAAACGGTTGAGGGTTTACATTTTATTCCAGAACCCATCAATCTGCGTTAAATTAAAGAAGTCAAGCATGGAAACGTGCCCGTTGTCTTCTCTTAAGATCCTAAACTTACACTCAAGCACACATGAGAACACTTAATGTGGACAGGCAGAGGGTCATTTCCATTTGCACAGATCCAACTGCTTAAAACAACACTGAAATAAACCAGTGATGCTAAAAAGGGGCACAGATAAAGACTTTATCTTCAGTTACACTGCATGCATCTGGTGCTTTGCTCTGGGGCACACAGGAACCCTAAAATCAGTTTCCCCTTGAAACTGCGACTTTTCTGTTGAAAAAAATTTAAAGAGCAACGTTGACAGTTCCTTTATTGTTCCCAGCAGGGTACCCCAGGAAACAGCAACACCTGCACGAAAATCCTGTGATGTGCACCCAAGGAATGGCAAGGAGACAAAGGGAATGGCTGGAGCTGTGTCAAGGGAGGGTTAGGTCGGATTTTTGGAAAAAAGTTCTTCCCCCAGAGGGTGCTGGCACTGCCCAGGCTCCCCAGGGAATGGTCCCGGCCCCGAGGCTGCCAGAGCTCCAGGAGTGTTTGGACAGCGCTGCCAGGGATGCACAGGGGGGATTGTTGGGGGATCTGGGCAGGGACAGGGGCTGAATCCATGATCCCTGTGGGTCCCTTCCAGCTCAGGAYATTCCAAGATTCTACAAAGGTGTCACCAAGGAACTTCCCACACTAACACAGCGTTAATCTTCCAATCTGCACCAGGCAAGCAGWGAAAAGGGCAAAAAGTTTGTTTGACTGCACACTTTCACTGCACAATGGGAATGGGTTTATCCACGCAGGGATGCACCTAAAGGGTCTCACAAACAGGAAATTCAGACATCTTAAGGACTGAAAACACAAATCCCTAAAAGCTCAGAGTGTCTCTGACTCCCAGCCCAACCCTCTCTGCTGCCTTTCCTCTCAGAAAGGAAAATAAGGAAAGTGGAACACGTTAAGAGCAGTGAGAGAGGCTGTAGGGGCAGCTGAGCCCCAGCCTGCAGGGAGCACATCCCCTCGGGATCACAGCAGGCTGCACAGGATCCCTGAGCCCCTTCAGCTCATTCCGTGGTAGCAGTCCCTGGTTAGCACATAATCAAAAGCAAAATAAATAAACCCACCGAGAGTTTGGCAAAAGCCTTTTTCACAGAGCTTACATGCCATGTCAAAAACACCCTGAAGTGGCTCTCCTGAGCTTTTCTATTTTAAAATATATTTTAATTTAAAAACCCCACACTGTTTGGCAGCAGTAAATCTATAGTACAATGTCGAGGCGCCTGAGCTTCCCTACCATATGGAATTAAAGGATTATTTCGCTACATTATACTTTAAAGTTATGAATGCTAACACCTCTCTGTTAGAGCACAGCCAGCRAGCCAAGCCTTTAGCAGAGTCCTGAAGAAAGGGGACACCTGCTCCCTGAGAGGTGGCAGAACCCTGCTGTGGSGAGGAGGATTTTCAGCTTTCAGTTCTGCCTGCCATTCTTCATTTATCCAGCTTTTGCAAGGGCAAGGCAGTCCCAGCCCCTGCCTGGTGAGTGCATTCCCCAGCTCAGCTCAGGGGGTGACCTGACTCCTCCCTGTGTCATTAGGAACGCTTCTCAACCCCCAAAATCCTGAACAGGCACAGCCCCATCCCACTCTGGACAGGAATTTGTGCCTGTCACACCACGTACACATTTCCACCTGCTCCTCAGGCCTCACCTCTATTGGCTCTCTGGGCTTTTCCCTGGGCTCCAGGCAGGCTCTGAAAATGGGGATTTCTGTCWCTTTGGGCAGGCACACCCCTTTTCCCCAGG